CAGCCCCGGGGGGACCCAGGCAGGGCCGGGGGGCTGCAGACCCCTCTGGGATGGGCTGGACCTGGTGCTGCCCGGCCCAGGGCCAGAGGCGCTGCTGGCTCCGGAGGAATCCTCGGCCGAGGCGCCGGGGCCGGGCCGGCGGAGCGCTCGGTACCGTGCATCACCGGGATGATCCCGGCAGCGAGCCCGGCGCTGGGAACGGCACCCGGGCCGCTTCCTTCCAGCTCAGCCAGGGCCAGCCAGGCCTTTATTCGTTTGTTTTGTCGGCAATTAAGGAATAATCATCGTCTTGGGGTGAAACGCGGGCGGCTCCTGCCTCCCGGGGGTGGCACGAGGGTGGCGGAGCCCCTTTGGCCACACGGGGTGGGACAGGGCTGGGCAGGGGGGGCGGCTCGGGAAGCCGTGAGCCCCCCTTGCCGCAGGGATTTGGGGTCGCAGCTCCCCGGGAATGCCCGGCGGAGCCTGCTCCGTCCCCGGGGGATCGGAGCGCGCCCGGCGGGTGCGCGGGGAGGAGCGGGGCCAGCCCGGGGCCGGGGCACGGCACGGAGCGCGGGGGGCAGAGATGGACCCCCCACCCGAGCTGAGCCCCCTGGGCAGCCCGGCCAGCGGGGAACGCGGGCACAAGGGCCGGGAGCGGCCGGCAGTGGGGCAGTGGGTGACAATCCCTCGGCCGGCAGGGGAAGGGACCGCGGGGACTGCGTGACTCGCGTGGGACGGCTCCGTCCCACTCGGCATTAAGCAGGGCGTGTGCCAACTCCCTGAGCAAGCAGCAGGGACCAAGCCCTGCTCCCGGAGCCACCAACGTCACCCGCCGCCCCGGGGGAGCAGCAGCGCTGCCGGCGGGGCGCGGGCACGCCGGTTCCCCGGCACCGCCACCGTGCTCACGTCAGCCGTGTCCCGGGCTGGCCCTGTCCCCGTGCCCGCAGCGGCTGTCACCGTGCGGGCACCGCTGTGCGTGGCCGCCCCACGCAGGCACACAGTGTCCCCACGCAGGCACACAGTGTCCCCACGCAGGCACAAAGTGTCCCCACGCAGGCACACACTGTCCCCACGCAGGCACACAGTGTCCCCAGCCATCCCCGTGCACAGAAGCCACCGTGGCCGGGCAATCACTGTCCCCAGCACAGCTGTCCCCACACTCGTCACCGTCCCCACGCCCACGCTGCCATCCCCACGCTCATGCCCCTGCCCACGTGCCCGCTGTGGGTTTAGCAGGTGGAGTCCCTCTCCATGCCTTGTCCAAATCCTCCCTCGGCAAACACAGCTCCCGGACACCTCCCAGGCACCCGAGCTCGCTGTCCAGCCCCGCTCAGTCCCCGCAGCCCGTCCCAGAGGTGCCACCAAGCTCGCTGGCCTGCCTGGGGCGGTGCCACCAGCGCTGTCCAAAGAGGTTTTCCCCGTGCTGGCCACAGCAGGGCTGGATGTGGCATTAGGGGCATTGTGAGCACCCACCGCGTGGCATGAGGGGTGTCACCGTGCTGCCACTGTCTGATCTCAGCCTGGCATCCCTGTGTCACCACCCTGGACCCCCAGACCCGGCCACATCCCATCCTGGAAGGGATGATGAGTGATGCTGCCGGAGAGGGGCCACCCGGGAGGCCCGACATGAAAGGGAGCGCAGGCTGTCATTACTGCAGGTGACACAGAGCTCGGGAATGGCACCTGTCACCTCCCCTGGCTGCTGCAAAATGCTGCCCGGGGAATGGGGGGGGACAGGCTGTGGGGACAGGGACACAGCAGCAACGTGGCCCCAGCACTGATGTGCCCTCCCTCGAATCTCCCCTGGGGTGTCCCTTTGGGCTGGGGACACCCCTGTGCCCTGGCAGCATGGCCCCGGTGTCCCCAGGCTCGGTGGCTCCCCGGTGACACCACGTGCTGTTTTTCTTGGCACGACTCGTGACTTTACAGCCGTGGCAGGGATGACCCATCTCAGTGCCACTAATTTGGGGCTGGCAGGGAGCACAGCCGCTCCCTTTGCTCCGGGTTTTTGGGCCCCGGGTGACACCTGAGTGCCCTGAGGGTGGTGGCAGCTCCGGGACAGCCTCGCTGTGCCCTCCCCTCCCGGGACAGCCCGGGGCTCGGCTCTGGAGGCTGCTGAGCCCGGAGCCGTGACTCGGGCAGGGATTTCACGGGTGCTTCCAGGGCTCTCGGTACCTGCTGGGACAATGGGGACGGTCACTCCCCTCCTGCCACCCGCTGGACCACAGAGGGAAACTGAGGCACGGGAAAGCCCGTCTCCTGGCCGGGGCAGTTTCCTGCTGCTGCAGAGGCAGCAGATCTTTAACCCTCATGGATGGGGGCTGTGGAAGGCCATAAACACGGTGGAACTCTCGTGGAAGGACAAGGTCATCCTGTCAGAGTCCCTTTTCTCCCTGTTCTTGGTGCCACCACTGAGACCCAAAGGTGCTTTGGGAGGGAGAGGGGGATATGGGGCACGGGGGGCACACACAGGGAAAAGACATCACTGCCAGGGCCGTGGGGCCGGGGGGACACCCTGGGGCCCCCCACCCCGGCCCCAGCACTGCGAGTGCTTTGGCAGTGGCTCAGTGGTGACAGCCCGGCCCCGCAGGGATCATTAGTCCTCCCTCATTAAAAAAAGTTACTCACGCTTTGAGACAGAAACAAGAATATCCTGGAAATGCCTCGGTTTGGGGAGTTCTCGCTCTAAAGGTATGACTGAAATCAGGCTGCAGGTGATGCTCCCCAGCATGTGGGCAGGTGAGTTACCTGGGCACTGCCCGGGGCAGCTGAGCTCCTGCTGCTCCCTCCGTGTCCGGGTGGGCAGAGTCAGGGTGGGCAGTGTCAGGATGGGCAGTGTTTGGGGTGGGCAGTGTCAGGGTGGGCAGAGTCAGGGTGGGCAGTGTCAGGATGGGCAGTGTTTGGGGTGGGCAGTGTCAGGGTGGGCAGTGTCGGGGTGGGCAAAGGACAAACTACCCCAGGCCCTGCGTGGGACACAAGGGTGGCACCCACCGAAGTGGCACCGCCATGGGTCCCACAGCACGGCCTGTCACACATCCCTGGCCACCTCATCCTGCCCGGGGGGCCCTCGGGTCGCCCCCGCAGCGGGCCCCTGGCGTTCAGGTGTTTTGGGCAGGTGAGTGGCTGGCCGCGGGCTGAGTCAGGGCTGCCGGCTCAGCGCTTTGGGACGCATTCCCATCGCAATTCCCCGCAGCGAGGGGCTCGGACACCCCCGGCCCTGCAGCGGGGACTCTGCTGAGGGGATCTGATGGCATCCGGGGGATTTTGGGGTTGTGGCGCTGCTCCCCGCCCGGGCGCTGCCTGGAGCCGCTTCCCTCTCGGCAGTCCCGGGATGCCGGTGGGAACCGGCTCCTCTGGGAGGGCTCCTGGGAAAGCCAGGAAGAAAACCGCAGAGCTCGGATGTTCCCAAGCCCCCTCCCCTGGGGATGGAACCTTTACCCCCCAAGCCTGCAGCAGTGCCAGGTGCCGGCCCTTTCTCCCTTGGGCCGGGACGGGCAGAGCCGTGCTGGGACAGCGGGCCGGGACCCCGGGGCTGTGCCGGGCGATCCCCCCCCAGCCTGCAGCAGTGCCAGGTGCCGGGACGGGCAGAGCCGTGCTGGGACAGCGGGCCGGGACCCCGGGGCTGTGCTGGGCGATCCCCCCCTGGAAAAGGAAAAGGACCCTCCCCCGGAGACCCTCCCTGCACACCCTCACACCGGCGCACTCCAGGGAGGGATTGGGAGCCTGTGCCTCTGTCTTTGCCAAAGCTGGGAACGGCTTAAAATGTCCCCCTGGGAGGGGGCTCCAGCTGTCCCTGAGCCAGGCAGGAGGGCGAGAGGCAAACCCTCCATGCCAGCGATGGGGACGAAGTGTCACAGCCACCTTGTTCCTCTGGGACAGCCGGGACCGTGTGGCAGGAGTCCGAACAGCTGGAGAAACCCCCACTAAAAATTAACATTAATTTATTAGAATATTTATGATAAAAACCAAGAATCTCTTTACATGTGGGTTTGGTTTTTTTTTTTTTTTTCCCTTCCTTTTTATACAAGAGAATTTCCATTGCTTTTTTTTTTTCCTCCTGGAAACAGAGCAGGGCAGCAGGCAGGCGCAGGCAGCGGCGTGGCACAGGCGCCCACCAAGGCAGCGGGGCAGAGCGTGGCAAGGCACGGCACAGGGAGGGGACAGCGGCCGGGGTCCCCGGGGAGGGGGTGGTGAGCACCCACGGCGAAGGTGGCACACGGCAGGGGGACAAGGTGACAGACACGGTGACACTCCTGAGCCCGGGGAGGGCTGCAAGTCACCACAACACCCGGCGACCCCTCCCAAGCCTTGGGCAAAGACGAGTCCTTCCAGGACCCCCGGCACCCCCCCGACGTCCCCTTGCTGCCAACCTTCCTGGTCCAAGGTGTCCCCGCGCTGGGGGAGCTGGCACTTGGCTCTCCCCCAGCTGCTCTCGCTGGCAGGGGGACAAATAATCCCCCCTGGCACACCCCGGGCCCGTCTTTGGTTAAGGAGCAGCCGCTGCCGAGGGGCCGAGGCTGGCAGAGGGTCCCCGTGGGGACAGGTGACAGCAGTTCCAGGAGGGATGGAGAGGCTGCTCAAAGCGAGGGGGTCCCAGCTTCCCCCCCCCCGCATGGCTCTAGGATATTTATTTGAAAAGACCTGGCATGAAATGTGAGGCCAGGAGGGAGGATCCCAGGCACAGCCGGTCCCACGGGGAAGCTGCCAAGGCGAGGGAGCAGCGGCAGGAGCCCGAGAGGGTGCAGGGGGAGAGAGAATGTGTGTGTGTGTCTGTGTCTGCGTGTCTGTGTGTCTGTGTGTGTGTCTGCGTGTCTGTGTGTCTGTGTGTGTGTGTCTGTGTTTGTCTGTGTGTCTGTGTGTGTCTGCGTGTCTGTGTGTGTCTGTGTGTCTGTGTCTGTGTGTCTGTGTCTGTGTGTGTGTGTGTGTCTGCGTGTGTGTGTCTGTGTCTGTGTGTCTGTGTGTGTGTGTCTGTGTCTGTGTGTGTCTGTGTGTGTGTCTGCGTGTGTGTGTGTGTGTGTCTGTGTGTGTCTGTGTGTGTGTGTGTGTCTGTGTCTGTGTGTCTGTGTCTGTGTGTCTGTGTGTCTGTGTCTGTGTGTCTGTGTGTGTCTGTGTGCGTGCCAGCCCCGGTGACAGCTCCTGCTGTCCCATCTCTCCGCTCCGGAGCAAGGCGAGGGGGCAAGAAAGCACAGGAGGGGAGAGGGGAAGCTGTGCCATGGGAGTGAGCGTGGAGAGCCCTGGTCAGAGCCGGCCGCAGGTCCTGAGTGGGTGGGCACCTCTGGGAGAGCCCCGCGGGGGCTGGGAGGCGCCCGCAAATCCCAATCCCGGGCGGGAAATTGTCCATCGCCCCCCGGCCACGCAGCCCAAGGAGCCCGGGCCATGCTGGGGCTCCTTCCCTGCTCACTGGGGCCAGCCCAGGCTCGCTGGGCAGAGCTGTCCTGGCAATCCCAGTCCATCCAGGACAGTCTCCCCTTCCTGAACCCAGTGTGTAGCGACAAGAAACCAAAATGGAGAGCAAAGAACGAATGAATGAACAGGAAGAGAGAAACGGTTTGGAGGCTTTGTGCCAGCAGCTACTCCCCCTTGGGGATGAAGGGCTCCCCCTCCTCGGGCTCGGGCCGCGGGCCGGGGTCGCTCAGGCACCGCAGCATCCGCTGGTTGCTGGGGCTGTCGCCGGTGCCCGGGGTGAAGACGTCGTCAGTCCCCGGGGAGGAAGGCTCCTTCACCCGCATCACCAGCCCCTCCTCGTCCTCCTCGGGCGAGGGCGGGAGGCCACTGCAGCCCTTGGGCTCCTCGCTCATCAGGTCCACGGACTCGGGGGACTGCGGCGAGGCGGGGTCGATGGTGATGATGGGCAGGTTCTCCGAGTCCTCCTTGGGCTCGTAGGCCAGCGGGTCTGGGGGGCACAGAGGGGTCAGGCAGGGAAGGGGGGGGTCTCAGGGACCCCCGGTGATGCACCCCAGATGTTTGTTCGGGCCGGGGTGGCCGGGCTGTCTCGCTGATTCCCAGTTCAGCTGTGTAATTCCCTTTCCCGATTCCCACACCCCAGCTGGAGCTGCCGGCAGCCCGGCTCCATGGGAAGGGCGAAGCTGCCCTCTGCTGATGAAGCGCCGGCTCCGCAGCCGCGGCACAGCCCGACAGCCCGTCCCCGCAGCGGGAGGGGACACCCAGGACACGAGGAACCGAGGGTGCCAAAGCAAATGTGAGACGGACAAACTGGGCTCGGCTGCATGGGTGTGGGGTGGGGACGGTCGGGGCTGAGAGCCACAGGGAGCTGAGGAGCTGCAGGACAGCCCCGAGGGCCCCAGAGCCGGCAGTGCTGCCCCTCGTGCAGCCCATCCCACCTACCTGAGCCGATGCGAGCCCGGGACATGGTGGGCGAGTCCACCCTGTGCGCCGGCACCGTCAGGTAGTTGTTCATCTGCAACGGGAGCAAGGCACCGTCACGGCGTGGCCAGGGCAAGGGGGCTGGGCGCAGGGATGGGCAGGGGACTGGGAACAGGGACGGGCAGGGGACTGGGAACAGGGATGGGCATGGAACTGGGCACAGGGACGGGCAGGGGACTGGGAACAGGGATGGGCAGGGAGCAGCAGTGGGATGCAGAGGACATGGACACATCCTCCCAGCCACGCTCCAGGGACTTGCTTGGGGCCTGGGGCAATCACAGGACCCCCGAGGCTTGGGGTCACCTCTGTCATCTGAACCTCAGCCCCCTCCCTGTGCCTTCTCCCTGGTCCCCATCCTGCTCAGCCCTGGCAGCATCCCTGCCCTGGTGTTCCCCCAACCTTCTGCTCCAGCTGCCGGGCCTTCTGCCTCCTCAGGAGCATCTGGTTCCAGGCCTCCTCGTAGGGGTCAGCCACCAGCGTGTGCCGGTTGTAGGATCGCAGCTGGGAAGAGAGCCCGGGAAAAGAAGGGTTAAAACCCCACACGGACAGGGAGAGAAAGGTCACAGCCCCATCCTTCCTGGAGATGGATGGAACAGCCACCAGTGGGCAGAGCAGGTCCAGGCAGGCTGGTGGCTCGTCCCTTGTGTGCCACCACGGGATGCCTGATCCTGACCCACCTGGGATGTGTGCCACCAAGGGATGCCTGATCCTGACCCACCTGGGATGTGTGCCACCACGGGATGCCTGATCCTGACCCACCCTGGCCCAGCGAGGGTTTAGAGGCTGGGCTCAGCCACTGACCAAATCAGCCCAGCCCTCAGATTATCCCAGCACCATCCCAGGAGGAAAAGCCTCCTGGGGAAGAAGAGTCAGCCCAGGAGCACAAGGCAGGGACAGCAGGGGTGAAGGGCCCGGCTGAGGGCTGGTGGGCAGCGTCCCTGGCACTCCCAGCGTGGCACAGGGGACACACACAGCACCAGGGGACACCTCACCCTCTGCCTGGTTTTCTGCAGGTTCGTGCGGAGGATTTTCCGGATCTCCTCCTCCTTGTCCTTGGACAGGGCTGGAAGGACGCGCTCCAAAGGGAGGGTCTGGGGGTTGATGTTCCTGCAGGGACAGACAGGATTCAGGGACACACCAGGGCTGCCTGCCCCGTGGCCACCAGCAGGGAGCACCCAGCGCCACGGGAGGGTGCCGGGGCAGGGAACTCACTGGATGGAGACGGTGGAGACGGCAGAGGGGATCTTGCCGATGCCGCCGCTCTCCACCAGCTCGATGGCCTGCTTCATCTCCATCTTGTGGTAGAAGGCGATGAGCTGGGGCTCCTTGGAGCGCTCCCCTGCGATCAGGCACTTCTTCACATACTTCTTGTTGAAGCGGTTCAGCCTTCCCGCAGCGTGGGACAGGAGGGAGGAGCAGCCACAGCTCAGCCCCGGCCCTGGTCCCACTCCCACTCCCCCCTCCCCACTCCCACTCCCCATTCCCACTCCCCACTCCCACTCCCCATTCCCATTCCCACTCCCACTCCCCACTCCCCACTCCCACTCCCACTCCCCTCTCCCCATTCCCACTCCTCATTCCCACTCCCACTCCCACTCCCACTCCCCACTCCCCACTCCCACTCCCACTCCCCAGCCCTGCCCAGGACAGCACTGCTGGGCTCACTGTTGGGTCCAGTTCCACCAGCACGGCTCAGGCCACGCTTCCCTGAATCCCTCCCCAGCCAGGGTGTCTCCACAACAGCCAGCACCTGCTGGTACCCACTAGGGATGGTCCTGAGCTCCTGCAGGGACTGGCCACTGGCAGCTCCCACCCTGCCACGGACCTGCTGTGGGTGCTGTGGCCAAGGGGTGCAGCCCTGCAGCCCTACTTGCTCCCAATCCAGGGCCATAATTCCCCATGGTGAGTCTGCATATTAAAGCCTGGCACAGAGCTGTGAAACCTTCTGGTGGTGACTGAAACCCTTCCCCAGCCCCCAAACCTCCCCACTCACTTGTCCTTCCAGTGGTGATGCCCGTAGTGACCACAGATATCCTCGATCCCTGTCAGAAGGTGATCCAAGAACTGGAAGAGATGGTCCAAGGCATGAGCAGCTCGGAGGGCTCTTGGCACCCTCTCCCTCCCCTGATACCCACACTGACACATGGGGAGGGCACTCAGGGTGTGTAAAATCAGGGCTGTGGGTCCAGGATGGGCTTTGGGAGGGCAGGATGCACCCACACAACCGGGCTTGGCTCTGTGGGCACCGGGGGTCTGGGTCAGAGCGGGCACTGGACGACACAGACAGGGGAGAGCCCTCGCTCTGCCCCCCTTACCTTGGGCTCTGATTTAGGGGCAGGTCCCAGTGACAGAGGTGGAGTGGCAGAAGCAGAGAGAGCAGAGGGCTAAGGCAGCGCGGGGCGGCCGGAGCGGCGCGTTACCTGCGTGTGGATCTCCTCGTTGATGGAGCGCTTCGTCTCCTGCTTCTTCTTCACAGCCAGCAGATCCACCAGGGGCCGGATGGTCATGCCCTGGGGAGGGGGACGGGGGTCACACCTCTGCCCGAGGCACAGGGCTGGGAGTGGATGGGCTCAGCAAAGCCAAACCGCTGTCGGTGTCACTGTGCAGTGACGGGGTCAGGGAGGGAGGCTGGGAATGGGCTCCCCACTCTCCACACGGCCATGAAGAGCCCCCTTTCCCTCTGAAAGCACAGCCTGGCTGCCACCAACCTGCACGAAGACGGTGAAGAAGATGACAGTGATGATGGCAGTGAGGAACATGTCCCTCATGCCGAAGTGCTTGTAGTCCAGCAGGTAGCCCAGGGAGAAGGCGATGGCTCCCCGCAGGCCCCCGTAGGCGATGATGAACTGGTCCTTCGGGGTCAGCTTCACGATCCGGAACTTGTTGATGAACCAGGTGAGGACAAGGACACCTGGGGGAGCAGCACAGTCCTGTGGGAGTGCTCAAGGATCCCCCTCCAGGCCCAAAGAGCCCACCCTGCAGCCCCTCAGGGCCGTGGGTGCAGGCCAGAGCCGTCTGCTCATCTCAACGTCCCTGAGCAGCTTCCACCCCATGTGTGGCACAACCACGGCCTCAGCCCCATGTCCCCACAACACCAACCACCAGCACGGGGGGTGCCCACGGTGGAGCAGTGCCACCCAGGCACCTCCAGCCTCCCCAGCAAGGCAAACCATCACCACGACCCAGCTGGCCGCTCAGGGCCGGGGTGGACAGGGCTTGGAGCAACCCCGTATGGTGGAAGGTGTCCCTGCCCATGGCAGCTGGAATGAGATGGGCTTTAAGGTCCCTTCCAGCCCACCCCATGCCATGATTCTTTCACCACCTGAGGGCTTTGCCAGCACACTGACACTCACCCAGCACTCTGGCGATGAGGCAGAAGAACAGCGTGCTGATGACGAAGGTCCAGTTCCAGTAGTGGTGACCAGCCACGGTGGAGACACCCAGGAAGATGAAGATGAGGGTCTCGCTCACACTGCTCCACATCTTGAGGAAATACTTGATGGTGGTGTGGGACTTGTGGGAGATGTTGGCTTCCACATAGGGCCGCATGACCACGCCAGCAGCGATGAGCCTGGGGGTGAGGTTGGGGCCCTCAGCAGCCACGGGGACATGGGGACAGCCCCAAGCCCTGGCCCTGCAGCAGCATTTTGTGCTGTGACACCAAACTCCAGGGTAGGACAGGCATCGGGAACCATCAGCAAATATTCAAGGCCTCCAGAGAAGGCAACACGAGGTTTCTCCTTCCCCTGGCAGGGCAGGAGTGAGCACTGGAGCACAAAGCCACGGTGTCCTGAGCGCTCAGCAGGCCCTGCCTGCTCCTGCGTGCCCAGGCTGCCAGCACCCCGGGGGACAACTCCCCAGCCTCACTTCTTGGTGTGCCTCCTTGCACACCCCAGCCCAAACACACCCCTGGGCCTCACTGGGCACGCACTGGGCACGCTGGGCCAGCGTGGTCACACAGTCCCCCAAACCCCCAGGGCCTGGGACAGCTCCCTGCCCGTGCCCACTCACGCCATGATGCCGGACAGGTGGAAGAGCTCAGCAGACAGGTAGGCCATGTAGCTGTAGAGGAACACGAAGAGGGGCTCGATGACGCGGATGTGCGAGGTGAAGCGGGACGTGAAGGCGGCGATCACCCCGTAAATGACGCCCACCAGGACCCCGCCCAGGGACACCACGAAGAAGCTGAGGAAGCCGAGGATGATGTCCAGGATGGTCACCTGCTCGAAGCTGGCAAACTCCTCAAAGAGGTGGTACAGGACCTGGCAGGGAGAAAGGAGCAGGGCTCAAACTGTTCTTCTGGTAAGGGGTCCTCACCTCAGAGACCTGCCCAGGGACCTCCCTTGGGAGTGTGGCACGCCTGAGCTGAGCTGTGTCCCTGCCTGGTGACCCTGAGCCAGGTGCTCGACCAAGGCTCACACCAAAACCAGCTGCTGGTGCTCTGCTGTGCCAGACACAGACCCGGGGGGACCAGCTCCCTGTGCTCTGTGCCCACAGGGACACACAAAGATGTGTCTGGGACAGCTCTGCTCTCCAGCTGTGCCACGAGGGCCTTTGGTCACCAGCCAGAGGCTGTTCCTGTTTTCCCAACGAGCAGGTCAGGACAGATCCAGGCTGGGGAACTCCTGACAGATGCACGGAGAGAAAAGCCCCCATCTGCCCTGCCCAGCCCAGAGAAGAGCCCAAAGCCTTGAGGTGGCTTCTGCAGCTGAGGGAAACCTGAGGGAAAGACTCTGGGCTGTGCTGCCTTCTCCCACCCCCAGACACTGCAGAGATGTTAAAGCACATGTCAGGATGGGAAACAGGATTTAGGGCATCCTGCAGGAATAGCAGCACTTGCAGGCAGGGAGAGGGCAAGGTGCCAGCTCCTGCCTGCTGGGGCCAGGCCCTGCGTGGGACAGGGGCAGACAAAAGCATTCCCCAGGATGAGAGTGGGGACACAGACCCTGCAGGCACCCCTCTGCTGAAAAATGGGGGAGAAGTGCCTGGAAAAAGCCCCGTGGTGGGACAGAGTGTTCTTTGTCACCAGGAACCTTGTCAGCAGTGGCTGAGCAGCCAGCTCCGGAATGGACAGCTGGGATATGGGAAAAGAGCCAGGAAAAAGCAGTGGGTTGGGAGTCAGCTTAGAGGTCAGCTCTGCAGAGAGGAGAAGGCCACGCTGACAGCCAAGCCAGCACCTGGACAGTGATGTCCTTTGGAAAGGGAGCAGGCCTGGCCCCACCTCCCAAAGGTCCCTGCAAAGCTGCTGCTTGCAGCGGGGCTGAGGGGCGACCCAGGTGGGCTGCCAGCCTGCCTTCAGCCCCCCCAGTTCTCCCCCTGCCACAGCTGATGTGCTGCTCTCCCACCTCCTGGGAGCTGGGGGACAGCAAGTGTGACCACGTGAGAGGAGACGGACAGAGCAGCAGCCACAGGGCAGCTCTGCCTGCCCCAGGGCCAGCCCCTGCTGCTTCCCCGGGCAGGACGGGCACGGGCACACCGCAGCTCCAGCCAGGAGAGCAGATTCCCAGAGCCCACGGCACCAAGAGGCTGACCAGGCATGCGCCCTCAGCCTCCCCAGCCCTCCAAGAGAAACACTCCACCCCAAGCCACCCCTGCGGTGCTTTAAGCTCCATCTTCAGCTTCCTGGAGGCACCTGGCAGCTCGGGATGGCCCCGACAGCCGCCACCACCCCGGGACGCCCCCGGCCCGCTCTGGGCCGGGCCACTCACCACGGTGACGGCGTCGTTGAGCAGCGACTCGCCGAAGACCAGGATGTGCAGCAGCTCGTTGATGTGGATCTCCTCGAAGACGGCCAGCACGGCCACCGGGTCCACGGCCGAGATGATGCTGCCGAAGAGCAGGTTGGCCAGCAGGCCGATGTGGTTGAGGCCGGGCCCGCCCAGCTGGCACACGGCGTACATCAGCCCCCCCAGGAAAAAGGCGTTCCAGAGCGTGCCCACCACGGCGAAGATGAGGATGGTGCCCAGGTTCTCGGTGAAGGGGCGCAGGGGCAGGAAGTAGCCGGCATCCAGGATGATGGGGGGCAGGAGGAAGAGGAAGAAGATGTCCGACTTGAGGATGGGGGGCTTTTCACCCACCCCTTTGATGAGCCCCCCCACCAGAAGGCCGACCACGATGAGCAGGCAGCTCTCGGGAACGATGCTGGACACTGACGGGATCACGTGGAAGCCTGGAGAGGGGCAGAGAACGGGAGACACACAGGAATGGAGGATGCTGTCTGCAGGGACCAGCTCCCAGCCCTCCCTGCACTCCTCGTGTGCCTCAGTTTCCCCTCCTGCCCTGCTCTGTCGAGTGGAAACTGCAGCTTAACCAGACCTGGTACTGCTGGTGTCAGAACCCTGGGAGTCCCAGCAGCAGGTGACAGCCACCCTTGGGACACGCCAGGGTCTCTCCCTGGGCCCCAGGCCTGTGACAGCCCTGCAGCACAGGCGGCTCTCTCCACACGAGCAGCCCCGGCTCCAGCTCTTGCCACTGCAGCACTGCCCCCGGGCACATGCAGGCAGTGGCACTTCCCTCCCATCAGACAGCAGCCTGCCCACAGTGCCACTGCTGCCAGGCACAGCGCCCATCCCAGGCATCCCTGGCACAGGGCACTGCGGGACGTGGATGGCAGCTGCTGCTTGGTGATTTCAGGATGCAATTCTCCTTCCTGGAGGTTTCACACGGCTGGTTGCAGCAGGGACAGCATGCATCCTCGGGGTGCAAGGTGACAGGGAACACATTTCCCCCTTTTCCAATCACAGCACAACTCCCAGCACAGCTCCCTGAGCCAGCCCTGACCCGCTGGGATGACATTCCCACCAAACACCCCCAGCCGGGCATCTGCCAGCACACCAACACCCACAGAAGGATTTTGGGCTCCCTGGATCTCCTCCCAAGCCTTATAATTATTATTTTGAAGCGAGGCATATTTGTTCCCTGGCAAGGGAAGCAGTTTAAAATAAGGAACCCTGCCTTGGCATGCCGTGTTCCTCCGTTCCTTCCGGCCGTGCCATCTGCAGCAACTCCACCACAGATTAAATCCCCTCCAGAACGAGCCAGATCCCCCCCGAGCCCGCAGGGGCCACATCTGTGCCACAGCCAGCTCATCCCTCCTCCACCTGCACGGAGACCCCAGGGGAAAAGGGCTCACAGCCCCCAGCCCAGCCCCACGCAGGTCCCTGGGGGGAGGATTAGCCCCAAATTCCACCTGAGCTGCAGGAACAGGCTCCAGCATGGGCAGACCCAGAGGATTCATCACACCCGAGGCTCCAGGAGCCATTCCAGCTGCTGCAGAGGGTCCCTGGTGCTGGAGGGATGCTGGAAGGAGTCTGGCTCCTGCCGTGCCCAGCAGCACCAAGCCCAGCAAACAGCTCGAGGGAGGCAGGAGGAGCTGGGAACATCCAGACTCTGTCCCGAGGCACCCCCAACACCCAGGCACCTGCACTCAGGGGCTTCCCAGCCCGGATGCAGCTCCTGATTCACCCCCATGGGATTGTTCTTCTTTCCTGGATCCCCTGGAGCCCACGCAAGCTCTGAGCGCCCCAAGGCAGCCCTGGCACCGAGCTCCCCATGGCAGGGGAGCTGGGAATCCCTTTTCCATGCTCATCCCTTTTCACAGCTCGTGCAAACCCTGGGAAGCTCCGACCCTTCCAGCACACCGGGCAGTTTCTGGCTGGAGTAAGGCTTAAAGCCACACAAGCAGCGAGAAGCCAACAGCAGATCAGTTTTTGCTTGCTAAGGATGTTCAATCATGAATAAAACACAAACACTGACAATTAAGCATCTCTCACTTCTTCCCCACAGGCCCCAGGATTCCATTAAACTGGAACATTCGTGTGCTGATGGGAATTCAGTGGTTTACAGCCTTTTTGTAGGGCCCTAAAAATACACTTACACGGGCTGCATTTTAATTATGCCTTTGATTTCACTGAATCTCAGCCATTTTTTGCTCCCTGCTTGCTCCTCTCAGTATTTTTAGAGCATCCCAGAGCTCACTGGTACCAATCTGTTGGTGGGAGCCAACTTTGGGATGGGGTGACTGATGGGAAGGATGAGGCCAGGCAAGGGTGAGCTGCTTTGATCCCAGCCCTGAGCCAGAACTTCCCTCCTGGAAGATGAGGAAGGCTGTGGCAGGATGCTGGGAGATGAGAATGCCCAGCCACAGGCACATCCAGGGGCAGCAGAAAGGGGAATAAGCCTTGATAATGGCTTTAAAGATTATGATAATAATAGGAACAATAAAATAATAATAATGTGACCCCTGACCCTTAAATCCCCAGCACAGGGCACGCACAGTCACCCAAGCTTCCTCCTTTGGAAAACAAACTCCATGGGAGCAGCTCCCTCTCACCAGCATCAAACACCAGCAGAACCATTAAAAGTGAGACAGTTGAGTTAAACATGAACCCCAAGGGCTTGAGCAAACACAGAGAAGGAAACCCAGGAGATAACAGTTCCTATGAAAACAGCTCCATGCCCACATCAGGCAGCCAGCTCCCACGTGCCCAGCAAGGCACACTCAGGGATCACTCACTGGTGGGCAGCAACTCCTTGGCTGGGGGCAGAAAGGAACTGGGGACAGGAATCCCAGTTTTAACCACACTCTGAGCACTTGCAGACCTGGAGGAGATCCCATCCTCCAAATGAAGGAGATTTCGGGCAGGGAAAGCTGGCTCTGACACAGTTTGTTCTGCAGCTTCTGAGCGTTTCTGGTCTGTATTTTGGGGTCAGTGGATTTGCTGGACGGGGAGGGAGGAGGGAAGGGAGGACAGGGCACAGCTGGAAGGGCCTGGCACGTTCATGGTTAAGCCAGATGCTCCTGAGGCTTCAGCCCACATTCCCAAGCGCCCACGCAGGGACACGGCCTCGGAGAGCCAGGATGCTTCCAGGGTGATCCTGCTAGCCAAGGGGAGGCACGAAAAGGAGAGTGCTTGCACAAACCCCCCATCCTGGCCAGGTTTACTGCAGCAGCTGCAGGCTCCAGCAGGCAGGCTGGAGGAATCACTCAATTATTAACCAGGGCTGGGAGCTCTCCCACCCCCGGGGATTCTGTTCTGAAGGAGGTGGTGGATGAAGGGTCGCTCTGGGCAGGGGGCGGTGAAGCCCCCCAGGGATGCTCTCTGCAGCCCTGGGGACCCCAGGTTGGGGCTGCAGGGGGCTGGGAGCAGCCCAGGGTCTGGGAAGGAGGCGCAGGGGGAGCAGGCATGCTCAGAAGGGCTGCCCTTCTGAAGGACACTGCAGAGAGCAGGGCTGGAGCAGACCAGGGTCTGACAGCACCGGCCCTCCAAAGGCCACCTGAACCCTGCAGGACACTGGGCTGGCAGCGTGGGCCCTGCAGGGGGACAGCAGCAATGCCAGTGGCCCCTCCAAAGGCCACCTGAACCCTGCAGGACACTGGGCTGGCAGCGTGGGCCCTGCAGAGGGGCAGCAGCAATGCCAGCTGAGGGATGCAGCAGGTGGGCACACCTTCCCGTGGGACACAGGCACCACGGAGAGCCCACACTGTGCTGGCTGAACCCAAAACCACAGATGTGTCACCAGCCCTGGGGACAAGTGATCCATGAGCTGTGACTCAGCACCATGCCCTTCCTTCTGGTGGGAAGGGGAGGGAAGGGAAGGGCAGGGAAGGGAAGGGAAGGGAAGGGAAGGGAAGGGAAGGGAAGGAGGGCTGGGCTGGGCTCCAGGGTCTGCAGAGCTCCGAGCCCCTGGGATCTGGCTTTCCCACGCCTGTTTTGGGCAGGTCAAAGATGGGGGTAAGACCCCAGCAGGGTTACAGCCCTGTGAGGATGGCGATGCAGTGACACAACATTTTGCAACTGGCTCCCAGGGGAAAATCCAGCCCAGTTCTCCAGAGCTTGGCTGCAGCTTCTTCCATTTATCCTTCGCCCTCAGAAAAAAGCACAGTGGATTTCTCTCTTCCCTGGCCTGACCAGCAGCTGCCCAAATTTCAGCCAGGCTCTGCTGACTGCTGTGGCCTCCAGAAGGGCCACGGGGGATGTCAGGGGGTCTCTGCTGTGCTTCTCCCTTGGAAAACGGAGCCGGATCCAGCAGCTCCCTGCAAAGGCAGGGAACAAGGAGAACGGAGGGAGCTGCACCGATGTACCGGGGAAGCCTCGAGGGAAGGGGATGGAAATTGAACTTGCTCAAAAGGAATTAAAGAGCTGGTGATTTACACCTATAAATAGAGCGAGGCCAGGGCTGGTGTCACCCTGCCAGGAGAGGGGTAAAACCACCGAGCTTAAATTACACTCACTGCCTCTCACAAGCTCCAACGTCACCACATGCCCTGAAATTCCAGCCCCACGGAGCTCCAAGCTGCCTTACTCCCCCAGCCACCCCATTGGGAGGGCACACGTGGGGCCGTGGCGCAGCCTGGGCTTTGCCAAACCCTCTTCTGTTTCACCAGGGAGCAGGCAGGGTTTTAGTGCAGGTCCAGGTCACCCCAGTGCAGCTCTTTTTGGGTTGGTTTCAGCAGCCTGGGTTGATTTGGGCAACCTTTTAAGCACCCAGTGGCTTCAATGTCCAGAACGGAAAAGCGTTGATTTTCCACCCCAAAATGCCATTTCCTGGTGAGAAGTTGACTTCTTGTTTTTTGTGTTAAGGCACAGGTACAGAAAGTGCTTCTAAGCAAAACAATTTCCTCCAGAACAAACCAAATGTTTCATTCGAGCCTCATTATTTTGTTGTCGCTAATTACAAGGCAAAGCCGAGAACCAGGAAGGTAATTAATTTATGCTGCTTTTTGTGAGTCACTGAGTGAATGCAGATCCCACACAAGGGCCACAGAGCCACCCTCCAAACCTGGCCCTGGGCACAGCGTGCACAGCCAGCACAGGCACAAGGGACAGGCAAAACATCCAGGCCTGATTTTGGGTCACTCCTGCACCCCAAACTCGGGTGGGCAGGGGCTGCAACCAGCCTGGTGCCCAGGACAGCACTGCCCCCGAGCCTCCAGGCACTTTCAGGAGTCAGGATCACCTTCATCCAGCGGGATGGGATGAAGCCCTGGGCTGGGTCCCCGGGGTCTGCCTCCCAAGGTGCCCAGCACAGCCTGGCTGTGACCCTGCCCAGCTGCATTGCACACAGTGTCCCCAAAAGCCACGCTGTGACAGCCCACAGCCACCGGGACCCCCTGCCAGACGAGGAAGGGACTGTTTTATTTCCCCTTTTATCACCCCTGTGCCTACA